GAGGAGCCGCCCCCCGCCCCCGCCGCCGCCGCCGCCACTGCCCTTCTCCCCTCGCCGCCCTCCTCGTCGCCGTCGCCATCCACCTCCTCAATCAAAAAGCCGCCGCGCCTGCGCTCGCCCCGCTGCGCTCCGCGCGCCGCGCCCGCCTCCGCGCCCGCCTCCGCGCCCGCCTCCGCGCCCGCCTCCGCGCCCGCCTCCGCGCCCGCCTCCGCGCCCGCCTCCGCGCCCGCCTCCGGTGGGGGCGCCGCCTCCGCGCGCGCCGCCTCTTCGCGCCGCTCGCGCTCGCCCTCGATCGTGGCGAGCCGAAGCTGCTCGGCCGCCTCCTTATTGTGGGGCTCAACCTGCGGCCGCCGAGCCGGCAGTGACGGGGCAGGTGAGGCGGCCACGGGGGGGCGGGGGAGGGGGGCGGCGGCGGCGGCGGGAGGAGAGGTGGGGCGGAGGAGAGGTGGGGCGGAGGAGAGGTGGAGAGGTGGGGCGGTGGAGAGGTGGAGAGGTGGGGCGGAGGAGGAGAGGAGGGGTGGAGGAGAGGTGGGGCGGAGGAGAGGTGGAGACGTGGGGCGGAGGAGGAGAGGTGGGGCGGAGGAGGAGAGGTGGAGAGGTGGGGCGGAGGAGAGGTAGAGCGGAGGAGGAGAGGAGGAGAGGTGGAGAGGTGGGCGGAGGAGAGGTGGGGCGGAGGAGGAGAGGTGGAGAGGTGGGGCGGAGGAGGAGAGGTGGGGCAACCTCGAGCACACGACGCAGGTCCTTGATTGCAGCCGCTGGCTGACCCAAGCGGCGGCGCGCGATCGCGCGCCGCAGCCGCGCCTTGGTGAAGCCGTCGTCGAGGCTGAGCGCGGCGTCCGCGTCGGCGACGGCGAGGCTGTTCGAGCGCAGCTTGAGGTTGCACAGCGCACGGTTCGCGTAGACGGCGGCGTTGCCCGGGTCGAGCCGGAGCGAGTGGGTGTAGTTGACTGCGTGGGGTGCGGGGCAGCGGGGGTGATTGCCGAGTGCGGGGCGGGTCGGGCTGGCAGCGCCGCTGACCGATCGCTTTCTTGTACTCTCCAACCTTGTACTGCTCGTTCCCCTTTTGCTTCTCGGCGAGGGCTCGCCTGCCGCACACGCAGAGCGCGTGTGAAAGAGCCGCACACACAGCATCCGCTGAAGCCTGGGCAGGCGGGCGCGCCTCTCCACCTCGACACGTGGCATCTCGCGCAGCATCGCCGCGGTCAGACCGGCCGGCAGGCCGTCGCTCTCGTCCCCAGCGCCGCCTCCACCCGCCACAACGGTGCCGCTCGCCTCACGATCGACCTTTGCCGCCTCCGCGTCCGCGTCGTACTTGTCCCACTCGGCAAAGTACTCGTAGGCGTGCTTGCGGCGGGCGGGCGGCGCTGGCCCGCCACGGGCATCCGAGTCGCCTCTGGCGTCATCCGTGTAATAGCCGACGCCTTTTGGGCCCTTCTTGAAGACGAATCCCGGCCGCACACCCGTGAAGGTGGCCGATGCGACAAAGCTAGCGGGCGCTGGCGCAGAGGCGACCGCTTCGTCGCCGTCCCAGATGGCTGATGCGTCTGCCGGCGGCTCGGTAGGCGCCTTGGCAGGCGCCTTGGCTGGCGCGCCCTGCGACGAGGCGGACTGGCCACGGATTGGCGGGAGAGCGGCGGAGGCAGCAGACGACGGAGCTGCTTTGCGCAAGAGGTCGTCCTTGGCCGCGATATCGCCGAGGAAGGCACTGAGGTCCTCGATGACCGCCATGTCGTTTACTCGCGCCGAGGAGCGAGGTCGCTGAGAGGCTGGCTGAGAGGCTGGCTGGTCGACGCGTTCACGAGCGTTGCGAGCGGCGAGTTTCTTTTTTAGTGTAGCAGTGTAGAAAGGCGAGAGAGTCCCGTGCCTAGTGTCGTGCGAAGACCAGGCGCCACCAACGTCAGCAGGAGTGATTCGGTTCCAAGGTATGGCCAATCTGCTCTTCGACGCGATTGCCGGAGGGTGGCCCTCGCAAGTATCGCAAGAACGACACGGCCCATGCAATGTGCGCAGCCCTACATATCAAGGAGCGCCGAGCGCCGATGCATAATTAGTTTTTACCCGTCGTTTCGGCACGCCAAACTGCGCGCTTGCAGGACTAAGAGAGAGAAGCGCGGCGCGAGGTTCGGGCCACCAGCCGCGGCCAGCTAAGTCCCACCAACAGACCTGGGCGCGCGCAACGATTATGAGCCGGGCTTCTGCCATTTTGCCGCACTCACCGCCCATGCCGCCAATTATCCCCTTTCCCTCGCGTCCGCCAATATTCCCTATGGACGTGTTTGGCCGGCAAGAAAAATGCAGCGGGAAAAGCTCTCTATCTATCGAAGTAAAGCTGTGCAATGGGACGTATCAACAAGGCAGCGAAACAAGTTGTGCAGGGCCCTGCCCACCGATTCCACCGCCCGGCGGTCCTTTTCCAGGGACAGGGTTGGTTTGTCCCGCTCGAGAGGAATTCAATCTCGCTAGTATCCGGCCAAACGACCTCATACGGGTCTATGTGGAGTTGACAAATGAAGCTTTCTATCGCGATTTGACTGATCCTAATCCAGAATGCTCGGTACTCGACGGCACCAAGTGCCGGAAGGTGTTCGTAAACGCTACCCTTCTGGAGAATGCCACGATGTATGTGAACTTTGCAGTTTTGATGAATGGTGGTGGTGATCTGAATAACGTGATATGGAGCATACTAGACTACATACCGGATCGCTCAAACGGGGTGGACTTAACGCGCTACGAGCCCATCCTTGATGACGCGTGTATCCCTGAACAGGCTTACAGAGACGCGCCGGTATGCGGGAGAATCGTATCTCTGCCTAGTCCAGGACGCGCCGCGCCAGCAAACCCAATGGGCGATCTCGGCTTTGGAACCTTCTATCTTGTCGCCAATCATGAGCCAAGTGCGGGATCGGGACACGTCCAACTCAGGGGGGCCCTGTACGACGAACCGGGCATGTTTCAGAGCAACGACTCTCGATGTGAAAGCCAAGTTTCAATGGCAGCGCAAGGCACTACGAACCTTTACTTCGTGATGCCTCCACCGCCGTCTCCGCCACCGCCGTCTCCGCCGCCGTCGCCACCGGAGCCGCCCTCGCCTCCACAGCTGCCCTCGCCGCCGTCGCCACCGCCGTCGCCTCCCTCCTCGCCGCCTTCTCAGCCGCCGCCAAGCCCCCCGCCGCCGCCGAGCCCCCCGCCATCCACGCCACCGATTCCCCCGCCATCCCCTCCTCCACCCTCGCCTCCGCCGCCCCTGCCACCGCCGCCCTCACCGCCTCCGCCCTCACCCCCGCCTGCGGGCCAACCCGCCCCCGCGGCAGCTTCCCGGATCCGAGTCTGGCAACAATTAGTCAGCGGAGGGTGTGACCGAGGGGGGCTGGGAAGACTACAAGCCGTTCGTCCCCCGGCGTCTCGCTGAGTTCCCAATCACCAAATGGGCATGGGTGCCAAGGGAGGGTTCCGTTTTTTTCGGGCCCCCCCCCC